CACAAAAATCATCTGCCCGCCTGTCACTGGGACCCGTGCCCTAGCTAGCGTATTGTTCAAGGCAGGCTACAGTCTCTATACTGGTAAAACTCTTAAGAGAAAAAGTATTCTGTCCGGTCTCAAAATGTAAACATTGGCATGGTTTTATTTTGAACCTTTGACTTTGGACTAATTTCCTAAAAATAACTACTGTTTCGGTCAAACAAAGCTAAAGCATTTTTCATCATAAACCTAGCAGCACCGAGTAGCATTTTTTCACTTTTCCTGTGTATATCAGGTACTTTATTTTTTCATATTGTTTGACCACATGTAATTTTGTCATTAATAGGATTGTTGTCTGATTTTAAAAAAAATTAGACAGAAACTCCCATTATTTTTATATATTTGATGTGCCAAGTTAAAAAAAAAGTTTCATCGCATACAGCTTTAAAATGCAATGAGGAGTATTTGATTTAAGACTAAGCAAATTTATTACTCCAATCATATATCGCTATAAATGAAAGAGTCTGTCTACCCAATAACCATGTGTTTTATGCAGTTTCAACACATTAATTTTTTTACACCATAGAATTAAGATCCAACAGCCTCCATCCTCCTTCTACCTCCAGCTTTCTTCTACCTCCAGACAATCACAAATCACAAGATCACAGATTCACAAATCACAAGAAACAATTTTTTTTTCTATGGAAGGACAAATAATAAATCGTAGAGCAAAGCCTAGAGCCGGACACATGAGGCGTCAGCCGTCTCCACACACGAACAGCCGAGCGATCGATGCAAGCGAACAGCCTGGAGCCCACACACGAACACGTACATGTGTTTTGGATCCACGGCTAACACACTCGTCCACACACGAACACGAACAGCCGAGCGATCGACACGCGCGAGGTGAAAAAAGAGAGAGAAAAAATCCATGTGTTTTTTTCTCTAAAACACATGTGTGTTGTATAGCATTTCTGAAATGAAATGAGCAGATGAAATATGCAGAAAGAAAGAAAAAGTTAATTAAATGTATATACAAGGACTAAATTATTGAGCCTACTATGCTCACTGAAAAGGCTCATCTCGTCGTCGATCACGACCAAGATTCTTTCAACAAACATTTCCTTTTCCCTTTTTTCTTCTTCTTCTTTTCTCTCTCTTCACGTCTTTACACACTTTAGTTCGCTTTAACTATCACGATCCCTGCAAGCAGGGCAGCCCTCCATCTCCAAGCCAACAAGCACCCCCCTCCAATCAAACCACACGGAGACTGACAAGTGGGTCCAGATAGTTTTGAATCCGTCCGGGAGCACACACGACCACCTGACCGGTGTCAGAGAGTGGACCAGGGGCTTGTGCACAGGCACGCAGGGCGCGTGTGGGCCCCTGATGCGGGCCCGCACACGGGGGCCACCACGCATGGGTGTGCGTATCATTTCGCTTCGTTGTGAGTTGTAACAGTGTTTTGTGCGTGCCTTTGCTGGTTTTAGGGGGTTTCTGTGTAGTGTACACAGTGCTGTACATGTAGCAGCTTAGCCCCGTACTAGGTCAGTGGCTATAGACGATGGTTTACCTCTGTGCCTATGTCGATGTTCTTCATCCCTTCGAAGGCGCTATTTACAAAGAAATAGAGTCATTATAAATTTGCGATGTCCGAAAAGATTAACTCTTTCTTATATTTTTCATGATTTTTATATGGATTCACTATATGCTCAATTTGTTTTTTAGGAATTGGAATTGGATTGACCTGTTGGTAATGTTTCTAATTTTGCTCCTACTTACAAGTGTAGATAACACTGTTTGAAATAACACACGCTTCTAATATTTAATAAAGTTGGTAATATTATTTCAAAAGCGAAGGCTAACACGAGAGATGTTCTACAGTATATATAGCATTTTTTCTGTCATGGCCCGTGCATGCTCACGCAAGCACATGAGGTTCTCCCTAGATAAGGGCCGTGGGCTATCGACAAGGAACCAAATCAATTACATGGCGCGTGGCTTACGCAAGCACACACGCTTCTCCCTAGTTAAGGGCTACGGGCTATCTACAAGGAACCAAAACAATTACACAGCGCGTGCTGCGCTCACCCAAGCACGCAAGTTTCTACCTTGTTAAGGATTGTGAGCTATCTACAAGGAACCAAAATAATTACACGTCGCGTGCTCACGCAAGCACATTAATTTCTCCCTAGTTAAGGGCTGTGAGCTATCTACAAGGAACCTAAACAATTACACGCCCATGGCTCACGCAAGCACACAAGTTTCTCTATAGTTAAGGGCCGCAGGCTATCTACAAGGAACCAAAACAATTACACAGCGCATGGCTCACGCAAGCACACGAGTTTCTCCATAGTTAAGGGCTATGGGCTACCTACAAGGAACTGAACACAATTACGTAGTGCGTGTTCACGCATGCACACAAGTTTCTCCTTAGTTAATGGTTGCGGGCTATCTACAAGAAACCAAAACAATTACACCGCGCGTGGTTCACACAAGCACATATTTTTCTCCCTGGTTAAGGGTTGTGGGCTATCTACAAGAACTAAAACAATTACAGAGCGCATGCTCACACAAGCACATGAGTTTCTCCCTAGTTAAGGGTTGCAGGCTATCTACAACGAACCAAAAAATTACACGGCGCGTGGCTCATGCAAGCACATGAGTTTCTCCCTAGTTAAGGTTTGCGGGCTATCTACAAGGAACCAAAACAATTACACGGCGCGTGGCTCACGCATGCACACGAATTTCTCCAAAGGCACGGGCTACATGCTATCTATAAGGAACCCCGATAATTACACGGCGCGTGGCTCACGCAAGCACACGAATTTCTCCCTAGGTAAGGGCTGCGGGCTATCTATAAGGAACCATAATAATTACACAGCACGTGCTCGCACAAGCACACTATCTTTAAGGAACCACAATAATTACACAGTGCGTGCTCGCGCAAGCACACGAGTTTCTTACTAATTAAGGGCTACGAGCTATCTGCAAGGAAACCAAACAATTACACATCGGTTACATGTCTACCAGGAAGAAGTCCATCGATTTACTGGACGATTTCTAAAGTTTTTTATATGTATTATCCGAAGGATGATTTTTCAAGGTTTTAATATGTGTATATTGTCTGAAATAGAGGAAGTAACACGCACACTAAAGAAATGTATGCACCACACTAACAAGTACTCCCTCCATACCTATAAAGGATGTCGTTCTGGGCGAGTGGGGCGTTTTCATATAGGATGTCGTTATACACTCGTTGGGGAGTATTTGGACGCGTTTGCCCCTGGCATGCGTTTCGGCTGCCGTTCCGCTGGTCAAAGCATTAATCGCGGCGCTTCGTTTCACTCGCCACCCATTCGGCGCTCGCCTCCCTTCCTGCAGAGTCGCCCGCTCGCCTCCCTTCCAATCCAGCAAACAACGGAGACAAAAACGCTCCAGAAACGATCGCAGCAGGGAAAAAACACGCCACGCAGCCTCCGCGCGCGCCAGGGCCAAAAAATAAAAAACGAGCGCATGCAAAATGAAGCCACCAGAAAAAAAAAGTGCGCCCACCAAGTATTGAACTCAGCTCCTGAAGACTCACGCCACGCTGCACTAACCGATTGAGCTAGGGAATTTTCTCGCATGGAATGCACCCGCAACCATATTTAATAGGGGCAGACAGAGAAAACTTTACCATAATTAATCACTTCTTGGTATGCTAAATGCTGTCCTAAACGACTTTCTTTACGGGTATGGAGGGAGTATGGCAAAGCTTTGGCAGTGACGCATATTAAGGTCCCTGTTTGGCAGAGCTTCACTTCACTAGTAAAGCTATTTTTTTTTTGCTTCAGCTCCACGAACAACTCTACCAGTGGAGCTGAAGCGGTTTTGGTAAACCATTTGACAAAATAACTTCCCTGTGAGAGCATGTTTTTAGGGGCCTGAAGGAGGAGCCGAAAGAAGCCATTATTTTTGGCTCCTTCCCACCCCAAAGCTCTGTGAGAGCACGTTTTTAGGGACTTCATCGGTGGAGCCGTTTTATTTTACCTCGTTTGACAAAAAACGACTCCAAACGACTCCTAAAGCCACTAGAGAACCCTGCCAAACGGAGCATAAGAAATGACTTTTTGTTTTTCCACAGATGGCGTACCAAGAAACCCCAAAAATCAGCCAGCTACATTTTTTTATTCCGTGCCGGAATTGCCCTCGGGGCGACCAACAAACTGCTTTGTCCACACTCCACAGTCCACACCACTCGAGCCCACTGCCATTTGTGCTTCCCTGTTCCTTCAGGTTCACCTCCCGCCGCAGCTTTGCGTTTGCTCGCTGCCTCGCTCTTCTTTTCCCTCTTCGGCTCTTCCCCCTTCTCCTCCCTGGATTTGGGCGACAAGGTCGAGAAAAGCTAGAGGAGAGAGAAGGCCAAAGCAAAGCAGACAGCGCGAGCAGGGATGTAGAGAGAGAAAAAGAGCAGCACAAGAAGCCTCGCCTCGCTTTCTCTCTCCTCCAACACCCCCTTTTTTCTCTCCCCTGCACACAACATTGTCGTCCTCCCCCCGCCTCCTCTGCCACCCCATGTCCTACTCCTAGCACCCAGCTCCCCCCTGTATTCTCTCTCAGTCAGTAGTAGGAGTAAGTACTACGGGGCTACAAGTAGTAGGCCTTCGTCCCGACGAATCCCAGCTCCCGCGTCGTCCTAGAGAAGGGTGGCGGCAGCTGCATTGCCGGCAGGGGAGATTCTCGGCCTGCGCCGTTTGCTCCCCACTGGTTGGAGGGCTGGCGGCTCCGCCGTCTGAAAAAAAAATCCAATCTTGGGGCGCGCGGCTCGTGGCGGCCGGCCGGCCGGCTGATTGGGCAGCCCCGTGGCTAATTCGGTCTGAGATTGGAGGATCCCCGGTGAAAGCCTAGCCGCCGGTGAGGAGTGGATCCTGGATTTGAGGCTTCCCTCTCCAGGGATCACGTCTTGAGGAGGCGGCGGCGGGGTGACAGATCCCTCTTGCTGTCTGCGCCGCCTGCTGAGCAGGAGCTATGAGACAATGACGGAAGAGAGCGCCAAGAAGACCAAGGTATCATCGGCGGCTGCTTCAATGTTTTCTTTCTTCCTTCTTGATCAGATAAGAGTCGCTCTCCATCTCGTTGCTGCTCCATCTGAGCTGTATTTTTCTCAGGTTGTGGTACCAGCAGTAGGTGCTGTTTCCATTTCGTGATCTGCAGCTCGTTTCCTGGCTCTTCTCTCTTTTCATGTGTGTAGCTTTCATGGTCCAAGTCCCTCGTGAGGAAATGGTTCAACATCCGCCCCAAGGCGCAGGACTTCCATGCTGATTTCGACGCTGGCCAGGGTATGGTTGATGCATCGCTTTGGCTGTTCCGACATGAGTGGTGGTTGCAGCCCCATTTCTTGTTCGGATTGATTGATTTATTTATTACTAGTATATGTCTGTGCATTTATTTCGTGATTATGAGAGCCGGCCGCATCCCTCCCACACCCAGCCCCAAAAATGGCATGCATCCTTTACCTTTGATTGCTGGTTTGGTTTGGGGAAATAGCTTGCCAGATCCAAGAACGCCCATTGCTTGAGGTTGAGGTTATCCTCTTAACACCCAGTTGTTTCTGTAGTTATCCGCATTAGATTCCCAGTGTCGACTCAATGGTAGATCAGCAACCATGGGAAATGTCGCTATCAAACACTTTCCACTCGTAGATATCTCCTTGTGCATTTCAGTTTCCAGTTTTGATCTCGTGATGCACTGCACCAGCCCTGTAAAGGTCCAACCAAACAATAGCCTTTTTGCCACAGATCCTGCAAAAACGTTTGGTTGATTTGCTTGGAGTCACCCATCTGTCTGAATCGATTTTCTGACTGAATCGGATAGAGATTTCATCAAAGATCACGAGCAAAGCAAGCACCTTTTCCTTTGCGTATGGTTCCTTCGTTTTCTTTTCTGCTCAACTGGCCTTGTGATCCATTTTAGCAAGGGATGGTGGTGGTGGATCATGGAGGCCCAGCTGTTCCTCGAGCGAAGCAAGCGCAAGCACTGCTGCCAAGAAAAGCAGAACTAGTAAGTGCAATGAACCATTTGGACCACACACACTCCCTCTCTCTTACAGCAGCTCCAGAGATGCAGCTTTCTCTCCTCACCAGTCACCACAGCTGCTGCTCAGTTCCACTTTGTTTATCTACGTTCAATCTTTGTTCTGCATCAGCACTTTTCTTCTGTCATGTTAAATGATTGTTCATGCCTGCTGTTACTTGTGGGCCTCTAGACCGATCGTCGTCAAAGTGGAGTGCTGAACGCGCTCGCCCAGGGAAGAATAATTTTGATGCAGCACACCTGACGGAAGTGCAAGATTACAGGTACCATTGGTTCACCATGCGGTGTTTTCTGCTAGGGCCATCATGTCTGCTGTGTAATTAGGAAATTTCAGTTTAGTAGATCGGGTGGAATCTTCTGTCCTTTAATCATTGTCCATATTACTGTTGGGTAGTTCATGCAATTTGACTGCAATAATATGCTAAAGGAATCTTGTCGATCATTATTCTCTTCTGTTCATTACTTCATTTGCATGTAGGATCTTTGCTGCAACGTGGAACGTCGGTGGTAAGTCACCACCAAGGGGGCTAAATTTAGATGAATGGCTCCATACTTCTCCTCCTGCCGATATCTATGTCTTAGGGTATGTATCAGTTGGATGGCCTTCCCTTCGAGCTAGTTTGACTTAGTTGGTAGTGGTTTTTAGGCTTTTCAGTTAATTTGATCTTCAAATCGTTGATAGGTTTCAAGAGATTGTCCCTTTGAACGCGGGAAACGTTCTTGGCACTGAAGATAACCTTCCAGCCAAGAAGTGGGTGTCCCTTATTAGGCGGACACTGAACAAGAATCCTGGAGCTAGTGGTTGTGGTGGCTATCATACACCCTCACCAGTCCTGGATCCAGTTGTAGAACTGGATGCTGATTTTGAGGGGTCTGCAAGAAGGCAGGAGAACTTCTCATTCTTTCATCGCCGGTCGTTCCACAACCTCAGCCGTAGTTTAAGAATGGATGGGGACTTCATGTTCCCGCAACCAAGGCTAGATCGCAGGTTTAGCGTTTGCGATCCAGTCAACTTAGGAGGCAGACCAAGTGATTTTGATGGAAATTTGCGCTGCCCTGGATCACCTGATGAGGATAACATAGATATGGAAGTGAGCGATGGTGCACAAATTTCACCATTCCCTCATAGCTACAGTGCATCTGCACCTTCTGAACAAAATGATGATCAATCAAACAGCTCTAGGTATTGTCAGTGCTTCATAATGCATTTAACTGTACCACATGTGTGGGCTTTAATTCCTTTGAAACTAACCCTTTCAGTATGCATGTGGCTTTCAGGTATTGCTTGGTTGCCAGCAAACAAATGGTTGGCATATTTCTCACAGTGTGGGTACGCAATGAAATAAGAGATGATGTCAGAAACTTGAAAGTTTCTTGTGTGGGTAGAGGATTGATGGGTTATCTTGGAAATAAGGTAGCTAATAATCAATAATCCTGGAGATATTCCTTACTGTATTTTAGTCATTGTTAATATGTCCAAAAAACTTTAGTAAGCTCCTCCATTTTGTTGCAGGGTTCAATTTCAATAAGCATGTCTTTGCACCAGACAAGCTTCTGCTTCATATGTTGCCATTTGACGTCAGGGGAAAAGGAAGGGGATGAACTGCGCAGGAACTCTGATGTTCTGGAAATTTTAAGAAAGACTAGATTCCCGCGGGTTCGTGGTGCTGGTGATGTTAAGTCACCTGAAACGATTCTTGAGCATGAGTAAGAGACTTTACTTGTGTATTTCAGCAGATCAATGGAAGCAAATGGAAACTTGTCTGTTAACTGTTTATGCACTTGATTAAAAATTACAGTCGGATTATATGGCTAGGGGATTTGAATTATCGGATTGCCCTATCATATTGTTCAGCAAAGGCTCTTGTGGAAATGCATAACTGGAAGCAATTATTGGAGAAAGATCAGGTAATTTGAAGTGCTTTTTCGTTAGTATATATTTCAGTTTTACTACAAATGGTTGTTTAGCTGTTAATGCTCTGAAATATACTTTAGCAAGCTACCAAATTCGAAGATTAAGTTGTTTCCGAAGAAAAGGGCTTAAAATGCATTCTATAATTTATTCCTTCTGTGTCTCCCTCCTTTTTTATATTGTGAAGGCTCCGTGCAAACCTTTGAGTTTACCTCTTATATATGAAACAGCTGCGGATGCAACAAAGATATGGACGAGTTTTCCAGGGTTGGAAAGAAGGGAGGATCTATTTTCCTCCCACATACAAATATTCATTCAACTCAGATCGGTATGCTGGAGAGGGTAGGCACCCTAAAGAGAAGAGGAGAACACCAGCATGGTAGTTTCCTAAAGTTAATACAATATAGATACATCTGCTATATTTTTCTGTATTTTTATTTTATACTGAAGACCTCATTTCTTTCATATCTTGATTATGAACTAATAGGTGTGATCGCATTCTCTGGTATGGCAACGGCCTCAATCAGCTGTCTTACGTTCGTGGAGAGTCTCGTTTCTCCGATCACAGGCCGGTGTACAGTATTTTCTTGGCAGAGGTTGACATTGTACACCAAAGGAGGAGAAACATGGGCTATTTCAGCTCTAGAATTGAGGTGGAGGAGCTCTTGCCGCATTCTCAGAGCTATAGAGAAATAAAGTTTTATTGAGTTGACTTATAGCATGATATAAGGTAAGCTAACTTTCTTTTGGTCACCGAGAAGTCTACAACTTGCACTTTGTTCTGGCTGCATTGAGGCCTCGAGATGCCTCTGCGCCTTGTTGACTTTGCATTCATTTTTTTCTGTTTCCTTTTTGGCAAGCGTTGACTTGTAATAGTACTCCACTGTTTATTTACTCTCTCTGGATGCTTCATGCAGGTTAGGAGGTTGGTCAAATGTTCTATATGTAGGGTTCCAGATTCAGTTCTCTAGACAATCAGATGTGAGTATGCTTAAACAATTTCCCCCTTGACGATCTGTTTGCCAACTTGAGACATATGCTTAGTGACAAAGATGTGGCTGTCAATCGTTATGGTCTGAAACCTAATGGTCTGTTTGTTTGGCATCCTTTGATGGCAGATACCGAAGACAGAATGTGCAAATACTAACTGAATGAAAAGGTACAGTTTATATCAATCATCTGGCAACACCATCATTTGTTACTTCAAAACCAAATTTACTACTAACTCACAATGCATATGCCGGGTTGCTGCAGGACATTGGGCATTTTTGCTGCTCACCAACAGAAAACGACGGCTATGTCGTCGGAGATGTACCAGCCCATGTCGCTAACTATACATTTCATCCAACTTTAGCCCCCTTAGTTCCTCCTAGCAACATATTTGCTTCAATTTTTTTGTCCTGTTTTTTTTGTAGCTGGACCCTTGAGTGTCAACAAAACAAAATGTTTTTTTTTCTTTGCTTCTTTTCCTCTTAGAAACTTTGTAAAACCAGCTAGTGTTTGTGTACCACATGCAAGTTGTGGAACTGTTTTTAAGGCAGTGAATGATACATGGAATGAATTAGCTTTAGGATATATATAAATAATTGTTCCTATGTATAAGCCTGAGGGAGGAATGATGGCCTGATGGGTTGTGATTGAGGCTCGGCATGGCTAGAGAGGAATCATGTGGGTGCCTTTTTGTGTCGTGCTCGAGAGCAGTTTGGTGAGGCATGGCATTTGTTGCACTCATTGCCGCTGTGTCTGTCTGTGTGCAGCAAAAAAAAGGGTTGGCTTGGCGCTCCTGCATGATGCTTCTCCTCCAGGGAGGCAGGGATGGCTTCGCTCTCTGCAGTGCTCCTTGAAAGCTCTGTTGTGGAAATGCAGACCTGTTGTTTTGACACATGTGGCTGGAGTGCAAGCCTGTTCATTTGCACAGCACCGGGACAACAGTTTTGCAGCATCCGAGAAGGCACTACACTAGTGGGTTTCCAAAAGTGGATTCTCTTCCATTTGAAGCCCACACTAGTTTGGCGTTCATCCAGTCAACCAAGTGGTAGCTGCGGCTGCGTATTATTATTGTCCCCAACCAAGAAGGATTGCAACGGAGCCAAATCTGCTGTGTTTGGAATGGGATGGCCGTTCTGCTCGAAGCGGCAACGGAAATGAAAAGCCCAAAAGGCAAAGAGGATCGAAGAGGCGCTAGCTGTTCCAAGAAAAGAAAACGAGCAAACCCAGCAGTGCAGTGCACGTAAAAGATAAAGCAGGCAGCACAGTAACTAAAGCCGGTGTCCGGTGAAGGAAGAAGGGTCGAAAGAGACGACGAGAGAGCAGCAGCCACATCAAACGCGCCCGGCCAGCCGGACCATCTCATGTTTGCTCTCTCCTCGCTCTCCAGCCTGCTGAGCTTATAATCGTGTTCGTAGTGGACAGGACGACACGGGCAAGTGGAAATGCCTCTTTGGTGTCGCCGGCGCCGATCAGAGCCTTGTCTCGTCCTCCGTCCGGCATGTGCGTGTGCCGCTCGCTGCTGGACGGTGGACGGACGCCGGCGAACTGGGAACTGCTGCATGCTTGGTTGTGGCACGACGTCTCATGAGGTAGGTATTCAGGTCCGGCCGGCCGGTTACGGTTACGTACACGCTCAGTCGCTCGCGCCGGGCACGGGCAGCATCCACCCACCGTCGGCTGATCTGTCGCAAGGGGGGTCGGCCCATGTTTTGTTTCTGTTGTGCATGCGACTGCGAACGGACATGGCAATGCAAAGCACAGTGAAGTACTAGTAGTAGTACTCGAGAAGTCGAGATGGTTCATGAGGCCAGCAGTGTCTGGCAGAGGGATCGAAGCGTTTGAATTGAACAGGACGAGCGAGCGAGGGTGCCAGATCGAGACCAGCTTAAGATTGCTGTGCCCTCAGCTTCAGATTGGTTGTCGGATTCGGAGCGGATCGGTTAAGAGCTTCAGAGTGCGTCGCACCGTTCGCTGGCTTATAAACCGTATTTTTTAACTAATAAATAATATTTTTCTCTCGCAACAAATCAGTCAACAGTACTTTCAGTCATCACTTATCAGCCAAACAAATAGGGCATGTGTTGTCATTGCTGACTAGCCGCCAATCATCCAGCCACTAGGATTATGATTACATGTGTGAAAAGATACTTGAATTAGTATATATAGCTGACGAGGTTTGTTTGCAGGGCTACAATATAATAATACTTGTGTCGTGGGCTGGTCTGACTTGTGTATACTCTCGCTTGGGCTCCTTTGAATATTCGGATATCCTATTATAAGCACCAGATAATCCACGTTCAATTATTGGATAATCCATATCTGCCGGACTTCGTTGATCCCATATCCTACACCGTATCCGTATATAATCGGATTCGGATTATCCGCATTCGCGCGGATATTAAAAACATTTCTCCATATCTTTTAAATTCGGACTTGGAGTGGGGGATTATACATACCACTTTCACCCCCTAGAATTGGAAAAAAAAAAAGGTGTGAAGATGAACTGCTGAAGCACTGAATTGCGGAACAAAAAAGGGCAAAAAATTCACCTGCGGTGAGCGTGGATCGAACACGCGACCTTCAGATCTTCAGTCTGACGCTCTCCCAACTGAGCTATCCCCGCTTGATGTAAGCTTTGTGTAGAAATAATTAAAGTCTGTTCCACACACTGTTGCATTGCATTGCCTGCGTGCTGACGTACTGTGGCATGTGGCATGTGCCTCGGTTGCCTCAAGCCACGTGCCTGCCTCCTGCGGTCCTGCCATTTCCATTTGCACGGCCTACTACGAAGGGTGAGGGACTGAGGCTTGCTGGCTGCAGGCTGCAGGCAGTAGCTCCAATTTTTTACAATTTGACCTTTGTTTTAACAAAATTTATGTTTGGTTTCTTAAGAGACTTAAACCCACCTTTGGTCCCTGGGGATCAACGTCAGCACTCATGACGCCGAGGTAACACGTCTCGGCGCCACAGATCTTGGCGCCGAAGTGCCTGGCCGTACACAGCAGGACATCCTAGCTGGTGTTCACGTGACCGATACCTCGGCGCTAGAATACATGGCGCCGAGCTCGGCGCCGAGCAAGCGTCGGCCGCAGTTCTCTCGCGCTATGAAAGGGCGCCGTGGTGAAGAGAGAGAGAGATGGGGCCTCGGACAAAGGCGACGTTCTCAGGCGGGAGACCAGGCTCGTGCAGCGCGCGCCACATGCGCGTACAGCCTGCGCAACACCCCGTCACCCATCCCCATCAACCCATGCGGCTGCGCGGGTGGGGCGGGCGGGCCTCTGCAGATCGAATTTTTTACATTTTAGCCCTTTTTAAAAAAGTTTCTCATAAATAGACCCCTAGAGGAAAGATTTCAGAATATGGACCCTTAGCTCGGCGTCATTGATGCTGGTGCCGAGCTAACACGTCTCGGCGCCAGCGTCTCTGGCGCCGAGCTCCTGGGCTCGAAGCGAACGTGGAAGGTGACATGGCAGGGAGCTCGACGCCAACTCGGCGCCAGAGTGACTGGCGTCGAGCCTTTATTACCTATGGGCCCCGCCCCTCTCTTCCTCTCCCTCTCTCGCCCTAGCAGAGCTGAGCTGAGCTTCGCCGCCGCCCGCGTACGTGCCTCCACCGGTGAAAGCTCTAGTTTGGTTTTGGTAAATTGATGAAACCCTAAGTGCTAACCTAGTTCATCAAGTGATCATGATATAGGTAGCACACTTCAAGTAGAGAAGCAAATGAAGATCATAACATGACAATGGTGATAGCATGGAGATGATCAAGGGCTTAAACTTGAAGAGAAGAAAGAGAAAAACAAAAAGCTCAAGGCAAAGGTATAACTTGTAGGAGCTATTTTATTTTGGTGGTCAAGACACTTAGAGAGTGTGATCACATTTAGATTTGATAGCCGTACTATTAAGAGGGGTGAAACTCATATCGGAATGCGGTTATCAAAGTGCCACTAGATGCTCTAACTCATTGCATATGCATTTATGATCTAGTGGAGTGCTAACACCCTTGATAATATTTGTGTAAGTATGCTACCACATGTGCACATGTGCTACCACACCCTTGATTCAGCGCTTTCGGGAAAATGAAATGTCTATTTTCTATTGCGCCGGATGCAAAATTCTTGGTGGTTGGCACACTTGAGCAAGGGTGAAGAAGTAAGAGTTGAAATGGAGTTGATCGAAATGATGCTGGCGTCGGTCTACTGACCGGACGCTGGGTCACTCAGTGACCGGACGCTGAAAGGCTGCGTCCGGTCGAGCTGTCAGACAGCACAGTGGCTAGGGTTGAGCACCGGACGCTGGCTGCGTCCGGTCAAGGTGGACCGGACGCGTCCGGTCGAAAAAACATGCCTCGGGGAGCTTACTGGAAACGACCGGACGCTGGGGCTTCAGCGTCCGGTCAGTTTTACCGGAGCGTCCGGTCAGCTTCGCAGCCGTTGAAATATGACGAACAGCGTTTGAAGCTGGTGACGCGTGGCGTCCATCGGACGACCGGACGCTGAGGGCCAGCGTCCGGTCAGTATGACCGGAGCGTCCGGTCAGAGCGCGTTTTGCCCAGTGAAGGGGTATAACGGCTCTATTTGATTGGGGCTCTATTTATAGCCCCATGGCCGGCTCAAGGGGTATCTCTTGCACATTTTCATTGACATAGCAACCTTGTGAGCTTTGCTAAAGGACTCCCACTCATCTACATCATTGACTCATCATCATAGTGAGATTGGAAG